GGAAGAAACCAGCTCACAAACATCAAATCTCACTCTCGCTGACTCAGAGTGGTTAACTCGCTTTCATGTTAACTTCCAGCTAACTATGATAGCTAACCTGTCGTAAAGAATTCTGTTAACTGACTCATCCCAGAACAGCGTCAAGCACGACTATCTAACAACCACAAGCGAATAACAACTAAACCCCACCGCGGTAAAAACGAAACAAATGTGGGGTACGCGTTACGAACCAACAGAAAAAAACCGTAGCTTCCCCCATCCTAAAAATGATTTTCGCAAGGAAGTCTTTGCAACTAATTTTTCTCCCTTTTCCGCTTTGGGCCGAGGCGGGTATATCATCCGACCCCGCTGCCCATTCGGTATGGAGGTCGGGCTATGCAGCAACTCAACCATATCCACCCAGATCCATCGATATCGATGCTATCGGCGCTAATTGGGCATAATAAAATTGATGGGTTTGAATTTAACGAAGCATCCAGCATATGTGTTGTCCGATACCGGTCGTCAGATACCTGCCTTCCTGCCTGCCGGTCGGTACTGCTACGGTGCACTGACTGTAAATGTTGCAGTTGCAATTGTCTGCAAAGTATCACCATCGTCAATTAACGTTCCCCCCCTTCCGCAGCAGAGCTGGTGATGATTGAAATATGTGACTGCAGAATGACGTTCCCATAGATTCCGGCCCTGATGCTGGACATGATGAATATAAAAATATAAATATAACGGCTTCAGGTCCCGGACGGCTGGCACACGACGATATTCCAAGGGGCGTAGTCAAGAAAAAAAAACACTTCACACCTTATTGCAAAATCGATCGGTGGAGAGATTAAGTACTAGAAACGCCTCAAGGAGAACAAAAATTACCTAAACCATGGCGAGATCTGTGGCCAGACCTATGGCCTGAGCCGTGGTTTCGAGTTTTGGATGGAATTTTGTGGGGATGGATGGATGGAATCGATGGAATGGGCATGAGCAAGCAGCTCTCGTGTAGATAAAGTCGCTCAGTGAGCTTAACCAAATTTTTAAGTGCCGCCCAAAAAAAAGTAGGTGGGTTTGGAATGCGGTGAGTAGAAGAGGCAGAGCACGTGTGTTTAGTGCGGTGGATTGGTTAGTGCCACGTTTTAGATATCACTCCACACGCTTTGATCGATTGTATTAAGTACATGTGGGCATGAATGTAGAGTAAAGTATGTACATAGGCACAGCATGTAGAGCATGTGTAGTAGTAGTTAGTGGTAATGTACCTAGCTGTGCTCGTAGTTGATCCCGTACTTACTACCGGCGGTCTCTTGCAAGGCTGACAGTTATTAATGACGAGTCTAATGCGACTACCTCCCCCTCTCATTCAACTTCGCACATTACTCCGACACCTTCCATGTCCGCCGTAAACCCCGGCCCTAACAGTAACCGAATGTGCTACGTCCAGTTATTAATGCTTGGTGACGAGCTGGTAAATTCTTTAATATATCGCCAGTTCTCGCTGATCAGATCTCTCCTCTACTAATTACAGCGCACACGAGTGATACGCCATGATGGGTGATTGCAGAGCACATATTCTTATACCCGGGTAGATACCTCCGCATTGGCCCGGTAGGGGTATCAGATCGGTTGACATACTTATAATCTAAACCAGTTATGATGGAAATAATCTTAGAGTAGCCGGTATATAACAGAAGGTAAGGGTGCACCAGTTTTTGTTTCGCTGAGCTGGCGATGTGAAAGACGCAGTGACCCGCGTTGGCGTTGCAGATGCGGCTCGATCAACAGATCGGTGACGTCGGTTATTTACCAGTGCGTGCGCATGGAATCTTAGATCGCGGGAATTCTAGGGGACGCCATTTTGAGAAAGTTCTCTGTTAGGGCGCGGAACGAAGGGAAGACCCTGAGTCTAGAGTCAGTATAAGCTTTTGGACGTGCGGTTTTGAAGATGGCCGCCGATAAATTGCAGCTGATCGTGGGTAAATATGAGAACGGGGCGTTTTTGTTCTTTCATTTGTCATGCGCGCGCTGGAGAGAACAGTCTACAGCAACAACAATATCACGCATCCTTCGCAGCAGGCATCTTCATCTTCAGAATCTCGTTTTGATAGTCGGTTCTATTGAGTCATGAAACGATATATGCATGGAAGATCACAAATCCTCGAATGGCGAGCTCTTGTCGTTCACTTGACTATGTTTCAAACCACGGATGACTTCTGACTGGTGTCTTACATAGCGGCATGGTGTAAAAAGGATGCAAGCCTGCGTCAGCCAAGACTTTTCTATGCACATCGCGCTTACCGCTGAAAGCGCATGTATGGCTAGCACTGCTCTCTTCGTGGTGGTATCGTGAACGTGATTGGCTGCAACAGACGTCAAGAGATGGTAGAGTAAAAATAAGAGCACTAGGTGTGATGGCTGCTTCTACCAGTACCACTCCACCTGATGTTTCGGTGCACGACTTTGTTCCTTTTTGGTCTCTTGGTCCTTGGTCCCTCCACCCTTGGAAGGTGCAAAGGGTTTTGTTTCCTGTTTTTTGTTTTGTTTTTCTCTCTCTGCCTGCCTGCCCTGCCTGTCTGTCGGGTATTTTTTTCCTGGGACTCGCCAGGGCGGGCTGGTCCACGCGAAACAAATACACCCACGGGACTGCCTGGCTCATACGTTAGGTAGGAGGTATGGTATCTGGATATCCAATGGATTTGTAGCCTGTGGGTAAGATACTTGAGAACCAGCAGAGGATGGGGCATCCCACCAGGTATATAACTTGGAAGAGACAGAACGGATATCTATCGGTGGATAAAAAAGCTTGGCCCGAATAAAGCGATAGGGTAGGTTGAGTGTGACAGGGGGTCTCGTGCAGTCCCGACTTGGCGTAAGAACGTGCCGAATGGCCAGGATTGTGGAGGACTGGGGGAGGACCCTTTGCGAGACGCCAGACACTCCTCACATTGCGCAATTGAATTACCCCTTAGAGTAAAAGACGGTCACTTTGGGCCAGAGCCAAATATTCGAATAATTTTCACTGGTAAAGATGCGAATATGCGAATGCAGGATATATATGCACACCAGGGAGTTGAATTACCTACTGGAAGGTACATCTGTTTCCTAGCAGCACTGGAAATCGAAAAGTCCGTGGGTATCTTGCGTTTCCACGATTCGTTATTTCGCTTCTGATGCCAGTGCTTTACCTACCTGCTGCTTTGTTGAGGGCCTTCCTTTATCTTTTGCTGGCGACAGGTTAGTACTCTATCCTCTGGGGTTCGGAGAGTAGTGTCCGGTGTTTGGTATTGGCTCGAAAGAGGGGCAAAGCTGAGGCCGGCGGCATGTTTCTTTCCTTTTTTTAAATATGTTTTTTTTCGCCTCCTTTTCCTTTCTTTTGCCTGGCACTTCTTCATTTCCTGGCATGCACTTACCATAGATTGGTTGGAGGTCATGCATGCCGTGTAGAGTATTTGTGAGCATGTAATGTAGGTATGTATGTGGACCTCTAGAGTAGGGCGTTTAAGTGGTCTCTGTACTCCAGTAGACTCTTTTTTTTTTTTTTTCGCTCCCCTTCTGACCCTTCTCTCCCTCTAGCTAGGTTTCCGCGTGAGGACTCGGAAGATTTTGGAGTGGATTCTTGTGATCGAGAGGACCCTACTGTCCCAGGCTAGGGTAGTAAAAACAACAGGGGAGGAAAGGACACCAGTCTATCTATCCTTCTCGCTCGCACAGACATGAAGGCTACCAAAGTAAAAGAAGGCAGCGAGTTCGTGTGTATCGCGTACCAGAGGGGCAATATTTTTGTACCAGTCCCACACCCAATAGTATCACAGACCCCCAGCTTATGCACCATACTCACTCCTACATAAAACACCCACTCATGCACGAATGTCGCACGTACTCTGACCAGGCTTCTATCTCTCCCCCTTTCAGCGCTATCGAAAAACCCAGTAGAGGTATCAACCTCCCCCATAATATCCTCTTACTCCCCTCGTGCACCCTTCTCTCCCCTTCTACCTACCCTTCATCGTCACCCCTCCACTCCGACGTCCTGGAGCAGAGAAGGTGATCCATTTCCGTCCCCTCTCACCCTCATACCCCCCCGTCGCACACCCTCCCGATATATCTCCGCGTCTCCTACCTATCTACCTACTCATCCTCCCCCGACTCCCACGGACCGCCATACCCCACTCCCTCTCTACATATCCCGAAGAGATAGGTATATTTATCTCATCTCAAACTTCCGGCATAAACGCCAGGGTTCTTAGAGTAGTGATCGAGATTTTGACCTCGATCTCTGTGTTACGTTTTTGTCCAGAGACACATTAAGGTGCGCCTAGTTTGAACGAGGCGACGTGCAAATAGTAAAGTGCCTAGTCGCGCTTGGTAACGACTTTCACGAAACAACGACGATTAATTCCTCTTCCCGAATCCGAAACCTCTTTCATCCCCCTCTCTCTCCCCCTCTCTTTGCATCTTGCATCTCGTCGATTGTTTTTAATTCCATCCCATTCCTTACTCTGGGCCTGTGAATATTTTTTCTGGTGCTTTAATTTTTATATCCGCTGGTTATAATCGGATCAGCTCTTGTAAAGTGTAAGTACATAAATGCAGCATATTTTGCAGCCTTCTTCGGACGCTTCCTTTTCTCTTCCACTCGCACTCGCACACTTCCTCTTCTTCCATGACACCCTCCGTATTTCCCCACACACCCTACTACGTCGCCGCTTGCTGCTATTGCTGCCACATCGTCTCGGCTTCCCTACCTATGGAGACTAACATTTTAATCTCCATCTCAAAGTTCCCCACGTAATAGGCTACCTACTCGTCCGTCTACCGAACATTATCCAACATTTATTCGACTTGTCCCTCACCTCCGTTCATCAATCCTAGTCAAGTGATTGATCCCTCCCTGCTAGCTCCAGAGCTGCAGCGACCCCATAACAGTACTTGATAAAGCTCTTCGCTCGCCTCCTCCTGATTCAGGGACACTCTACCTACAAAGGAATTCGTCCACGAACCCGCATGTATTCGAACTGATGGACTCTGAAGACGGCCAACAGTTCATCAAGCATCTCGCCCACTTTGTGCGGACTCACGAGAAGGCTCTAGCAAATGCTTTACAATTGCAGAGGCGGAATCCCCGCCGAAGGGACTCGGCACCTGCCATAACTGGTACAGGAAGCCACCCATCGTCACCACTTAACTCCACCTCATCATCATCCGGCTCAGCTCTAGCGGCAGCCTTTTCTCTACCATCACTGTCGTTCTCGTCGCAGTACATCAAGCCCCAGAAACTGTCGCTCACACCCCATCACCTCTACTACCTCTTGACACGATTCGAAGAGCTCAACATTCCAGTTGGGTCTATGGGTGTGCGTCTCGAGAATATACATGCAGAGAGTTCACCAGCAAACTACGTCTCGTTTCTCAGGGATTCGTCTGCTCAGTCCAAACGAAGAAATAGGTCTTCAGATAGCTTGTCAATTCATTCAGTGTCTAGCGTCAAGAGTGTCATGACTGGGATGACCTCCCTGTGGTCCTCTTTTGGACTCGGTACATCAGCAGAGTTAAAGAGTGCGAGAGCAAAGGCAGCGCTTGATGCAGATTTGAAGTATCTATATTCAGCTTTTACTAAAATCCCATGCCTTAGGCTAGCTCCTGATAGGAAGTCACGATTGATTGATGGCTTCGAGGAGTTTCCTTTCGACACCGCAGTTCCCTTGCTGGCTTTCAAAAACGTCAGTGCATTGGAGATTTGCGATATCGATATCCGCCAGTTCTTTGGATGGGATCAATTGGCTGAGAGAGTACGGAGCTTGACGGTCAAAAGAGGTGGCATTGAGGACCCTGCAGAGCTCATTATTGCTATTGTTCTGGATGATATGGACAAACGACGATCGCGGTCTGCAAAGTCACAATCCTCGCCAATTATGTCGTATCCTGTATCGGTTGTCCCAGCGGAAGTCCAGTCTTCATCGGCACCTCCTTCGCCCACATCTCGTCCGGTGCAGATTGGCGGAAGCGCACCCACGGGCCATTATCATGCGATGTCGAGAGATCCTTCGAACACTTCACGAGACAGCTCGAAAACCCGGCCACGGAGTAGCTCGCCGTCTCGGCCGACCAGCTCTAGGAACAGTTCAGCGGCAGGTACTCACCATCGCTCACATCGGATGCGAAGATCGGAATCTGGAAGTAGTCATTCCTCTTCGACATCTACCGTTCTTCCTGGGTCACCTCGTGGTACTAGCCCGCCTACCGTTATTCCCGGGTCACCTCGTGGCACTAGCCCGGTAAAGGAGGATCCTATGGCGAAGAAATGGAGGTTCTTGAGGCATTTGTCATTGGCGGATAACAGCTTGACATCCATCTCCTCTTTCGCATTAATTCCATTGGCGAATTCGTTATCGTCACTTGACCTTTCCTCCAATCTTTTCACATCTATTCCAGAGACTTTGTCCACGCTTTCAAACTTGCGAGCTCTAAATCTATCTAACAATATGATCGACTCACTTCACTCGTTGACTCGCAACCCCCTCCCCGCCATAACCGCGCTAAATCTTCGTGGCAACCGCCTAGCGTCGATTGCGGGCATAGAGCGGCTGCTATCATTGGAACGTCTGGATTTACGGGAAAATAAGCTTGCAGACCCCACTGAGTTGGCTCGGTTAACGGGCGTACCGAACATGGCGGAGATTTGGGTCGCGGCAAACCCTTTTACGAAGACTCACCCCTCATACCGATTGATGATATTCAACCTTTTCAGGAGCACACCGGGTTATACAGATGATATTACGTTAGACTCTCAAGGGCCCGGGATGGTCGAAAAGCGGAGTTTGGTCGAGAGAGCGGCAGAGCTACCCAGCGTGCCGGTGGTGAGGATGCCTCAACCACAAAGCGTAGTCGTCAACACAGTTGCAGCGATCGATCCCAAGAAGGAAAAGCAAGAAAGTGAAAAGTCGATCAAGATGGTTACCAGCACTAGTGATGTGGCCAGGGCAAAGAAGAAACCTGGAAGAAGGAGAGTGGTTGAGCTTGGTCGTGAGGACAGTAGCTTGTCAATTGGCGAGCATAGATTAACAAAGTCACCTCAACCACCTCCCGTGCACTCATCGATCAGCTCAAATGTATCAACAGCACCTAAAGATATTCCACACCATCCTGATGAATCATCCTCCGGGGCTGAATCATCCCCTCAACAGCATGCATCTTCATCCCCTAGAGAAAATATTGACTGGGAGATGAGGGGAGATGAATACCGGCGTAAAGTCGAGGCTTTGAAGATGGATGTTGGGAGCGGTTGGTTGAGTGTATTGAGCGAGGAGGGTATGTCACTGGCCGCGTCGAGAAAGTCGACGCCCGGGGCAACGAATACCAGCCCTGCAGCTCAGTGGAAGAGACCTGGTTAATTGCTTATTCGTTGGAGTTTCGAAAATTGTTTCTTCGGCCGTTTCTGGGGATTGAGTAAACTGCATAATATTGTCACCGGTTGAATGCCTGACGAGGATGATGAATGCATGACCTATTTCTTATCAAATTTGGCTACGGAGAAAGTTTATTTTTCCCCCTTTTTCTTTATTTTGCCGTTGTATCATATCTAAATTTTCCTGTTAGTTTTACTCGTTGGTTTGGGAGTTCGGCTGGACTTTTTTCTTTTCTTTTTTCTTTTTGCTTTTCTTCGAAAGTTCAATGGGGAGGGGGTTTCAGTAGGTGTTCGTTTTTATTGCTTAATTTTCAGCTTTTTTTTGTTATTCGCGCTTCCTTTTATTTTCACTTTACTTTTACATCTTGCAGAGGACTTTTTTCTCCCCTCTATATTCAATCATCCAGCTGCATCTATTATTTATATCTGACATGCATGCATTTCATATTTCTGTTTTTCCGGTCACTTTCTGGAGAAAGTTAGGGTTTAAGAAAGAGAGTGAAATAAAAAAGGGAGAGCAAAAACGGTACTCTATTCGTTGTTTTTGGTATGAGAGAATGAGATCCAGAAATTATGCATGTAGTATTGGTTTATATCCTTTGACTCTTGCTCAATTCCTAGGCTATTTGGGAGCTGGAACTGGCGTGTGGGAGGGATGATTGATTATCAATTTAGTTTGAATGTTTGGCTGTTTGGCTGCGTTGCGTTTGTTTGCCCTTAGTTTTTTATATTTTTGCTTTGCTTCCTTGTGGCCTTGTTTTTTAAAAAAGTTCTGGTTTCATTTTTACAGTTACGGTAGAGAGAGTAATTTACAAGGGAAAAGTGCAAAGTCTGGGGATATTCTATTCCACATCATAAAAATAAAATAAAAAAACAGCCAAAACCAAAATCATTCCAGAGAAGAAAGAAGCAAGTGGTGTCGGCACCAGCTTGTAAGTCAAGTACTGTATGTACCATAGGTACTTCCCCGCTCTCTCGTGAGTAAAGTACTTGCGTGGCAGCTCCCTGCCACTTTCGACATTCAAAGGTAGTTTTGATCTGCAGATGATATTCTACCAGAATTGGCTACGGGAGTGCTGTAGTTGGTTAGCTACGGCTTCTTTGCCCCATTCTGTGTGATGATTTACTGAGGGTCCTCCTCTCCCTTTGGTTTCTTGGTTCTTGTTCTTCCTCTCGTCCTGTATGCGGATCACGGTGCGTACTCGACAGTCTCGGAGCTCATTGCTGGAGTAGTGATGGCTTCGGCGCTGTGTTTCTCACACCACCGTGGGCAGGGCCGATTAGGATTGGTTGGAACCACGTGGTTGTGGTTGGCCAGCCTGCCTGTCTTCTCTCTGTCTGTATGTCTGCCCTGCCTAACTTACCCGACAAACCCTCCCCCCCCCGGGGCCTGGGGCCTGTCTCCTTATCGTTCTTTCTCGGGAGGGTGCAACGGGTGATCGCTTATGACTGAGCTGATGCTGATGATGCTGATGAGGAGTTCAACTGGTTGCTGCTGCTGCTGTGGGCCCTGTTCTAGCATCTGCTGCAGGGTGCAGACCCTACGTTACCTGCCTACATCTAGATACCCTACCCACTTTGTTGCTGCTGCTGCTTCATCATCGCTGGCAGCGCCGCGCAATAACACATTTTGAGAGACAACCGCATTCTCATTTTGGATCAAGAGGGGGGAAAAGAGTTAGAAAAGGAAAGGAAAAAACGGTTCTAAATATCAGCACTTACACGTACGGGAGTGAGAAAAAACGCCTTCTCCTGCCTCTGTTCTGTTGAGCGTGCCTTTTCTGGTTCTGGGGTGATTAATAGAAAGTAGAGGCACTTTGGGTCAAGCAAATTAGTCAGTCAGCTGACCCTTGCTCACAGCTTGTGCAACTGTAGGTCTGTCGTTGCATCATAATCATAATCAACCCCCAAAAGTGATTTGCAACCTGCAGTACGGAAACGGCGCGAAGGGCTGTAGGATGTGGAATCCGACTCCACAACGTTCGTTACGGCCGTACGGGTATGTAGCACCAACCCACGTCTACTACTTCATACATACGTAGCTAGATACAGAGGAATTCGAATCTGGAGAAAGAAGGATAAACACATCCAGGGCCGGTTTCTGACGTAGAGCACGTACGTAAGTTTTCCCCCTCAGGTGCAGACACATCAAAACCCCCAAAAGTTATAACCACTGATCTTATATGTCCCCTCGAAGCCCTGGTAAGGGTAAAGAAAAAGGTGGGGGTGACCCCTCACTCAATCCTTTGAACCTCACCAGACGATGGTCCGAGCTTCACCTGTCTTCTGCTCTGTCTAAACCGGTTCGGTCCCGCCAAGAGAGGCAGTACCACTACCACCTAATACTGGTACCAAATAGCAAAATAGCAATTGTTTGCAATATGCATACGAGGAGAAGATCAGGCTAAAGAATACTCCTAGACGGGATATGATATTCTTGAGGTAGGGAGGAGCGGTAATTATCCCCATTTGAATTTTCTTATATCGTAATTCACTCCCGTAGACTGACTTTAGGTGGGGTCACGATCAGTCGGAACTTAAATACGAACTCCAGGGCCACCTTCCGCCCACTTCCCCACGGCCGCACTGACCCTATTGTATGTCTAAGAAACTACAGATTCAGGCGGAAGATGGGAAGGGCTTGATGTTTGACGTTGTTTGCAATTGCCTTTTCCGAGCATTCGGTACATACAATGTGCCACAGTGCCTGCCCTGTACTTCCCTACGTAGGGTAGGATACAACTTCAAGTAAGGATCAATCGCTCTCGGGAGTTTTGAGTGTGTGTCTCGCGGTGAGAAACGTTGGCTGGTTGGGATCGACTGTCATTGTCGGGGCGCATGGTGGGGTAGATTATGTACGGTACGGTATCTGAGCCGTTTGGCTTCTCGAAAAAGAACACTCCCGGCGGAAATGCCCGGTTACCCTCCCACGGCATGCCCAAAGAAAGTCCCCACGCAGGTCACCACCATGCACCCCGGCTTTTTCTTTTCGGAAAAAAAAAAACTGCAAAATTCTGAAGGAGCCCACAAAAGCAGCTCGTTCGCAAACACGATTTCCCGTCCAGCGCGATTTCTTTGATCTGGCCATTGAGAGCTCGAACCCTCGAGCACCTTTTCTGGTTTTGTTTTTTCCCTAGGAGAAATTCGCCGAAGGGTTCGTTCTAGACGTCGTCATGATAGCTATGAGGCTAAGGAATTGCGTGGGTTATCGGGTACTGCTGTAATGTCACTGGAGGATCAGACAGCCAAGAAGCCACACACACATGGGGGGAGCCAACGTGGATATATATAGAGGGGTACATTTTCCACATGCAAATTTTTTTAGTCCTAGAAACACCTCAATTGCCAAGTGCACGTGCTGAAGCCCCTCAGAACGCCTTGAACTAGCTGTTACACGTGGCGCCGCGGGGTCTGTGGACAAGTCACAATAAATCACTCGGAACATTGATTCCTACGAAATTTGATTGATCGATTGATTACTTCATTAATTGTATAAATTTGATTGATTGGTTAATTGGATCCCCGTGAAATGAAGGGATTGAGCAGAGGAGACGGGACATGGACTGACTTAAGAGACTTGATGGCTTAATAGCCATTAAAGCGGCATTCTCCATAGGACACACTATTTGGTAGAGGCATTAATATTTAAAGTCTTTGAGAAGAACATGTAATTACTTTACACCATAACTTTAGCCCACGAATCTTCAACGTCATGAAGAGAGCGTTACGTGATATATTTTATATTTTAGGCCGCTCGTCAAACCTGCCATATTGTTCCACTGGAATATTGAAAGTCCTCCAAGTACTAGTCGCCCATAACGAATATAGAAATCAATTGCATATCATAATCAGCGCATTAGACTTCAATTAACAATTCAAGAATTGCAGTGATTTTTCACTCAAATCCCGATTCTAAAAAAAGAAATTAAAGAGGAAGAGGCGCTCCTAGAATGACTTGAAAATTTGCTATACCTAGGCCTGCCACCGTTACACCACCGGCTACGGAGCCTGTACTTTCAGGCAGTAACTCTGACTAGAGTTAGAGGCAATTTGGCCTTTCGGGTGACATATACCTAACCAAATGACAAGCCGTCCCTATATTTCTTCTCCTCGAAGTCTAAATCCGACGTGATGGAGCTGTATTTGTATGACAGCAATGACCTCGCTAATTTCTTCTCCTTGGACTATTAACACCAATATGCCGGAAAGTGGCTGTATCTACAAAAGATGAGCTCGATATATTTGAGTCATAATATATCACTCGCACACATGTTTCGTTGATACTACCATGATATAAATCTTTAGAGTCCCTATGGTTATACTCATGTTTAAACCCTAAACATAATTAGAATTATACCGCGGGGAACACGGATAAAATCGTGATGATAAAGGTAGCTTTCCAACAGTGAGATTGCACACATGGGCGCATAAGATCATTTCCCCTCTCTGTTAGTTTGGAGCTGTTCAGGCGGACTATAGGGGCACCATATTCACTAGAAAAGCCAAATTGAGCGTCCCATTGGTTATGAAGTTCAATTTTATAGCTGCTGCTCCGGTCTCTATTTTTGACCGGGCCAGATACGATCAGATAGACATATTAGACTTATTTCTTTTACCCCCTTAACTTTATACTCGAATACTTTTTAATGTTTACTTTTGCCAATATTTAAATTCAGATTAGTATCTTTTGCAGGGCTAGATAATTCGTTTTACTCGCCTCCTCATTCAACAGCGCTGATATATCTAAGAGGGCCCCAGAACAAGATTTCCGTTGTCGGAGAACTTGAACTGCGACAGAAATATTATCAGTCTTGTGGGTCTACGCGCTTTACGTATAATTCAAGCGGCCCGAATCATGGAGACTTAAGCTTTTAAGGCTTGAGACATCGACTCACACTGAAAGCTCGAGCCGGCTTGTTTGTGGACCCAACTAACATAATATGGAGATCACCTCCAATTTTGTTTGTTAACCAAACAGTTTACAGCCACACCTCACTATGCCGGATCTCAATATCCCGGATCCCTTGCTGTCCCGTACGAAATCCCCTGGGATTTTAATTCTCTTGCTGCAAAACCAATTTGCTATCCCGGATTTCTCGTGAGTATTTACTATCCCGTATGGAAATTGTCTGGTTCTTGGCATCCGGCATAGCGAGGTGTGGCTGTAGTCTCCGGGTCCTTAATTAGTTATTGATACGTGTAAGTTCAGCCCTATCGCGTGTCCTCTCTGTTCGAACGCTTTTTATTCTAAAACGAATTTCAGCCAAAGATAACTGATTTGTATACACGGAGCAATAAGATACAGCTACCAACCAACAGTGTTATGGTCTGCAACCTAGGACATGTCTAAGACAGCCATTTTTTGAGATTAAGACCCGTCAACCACAAACAATTTTGGAGAATGACTTTTATGCTACCCCTGAAGGTAGTCTCATATGGAGACTACCGCGATCAATAAACAGCGAGTTTTGAATGGTTACTCAATCAAGAGTGTGTCACTGTTTAAGCTGCGTTCAGGTACGTTAGGCAAAGTGTGTGTAACAAGAAGAAATTTTTCCTTTTGAAGCAATGATCTTCGTTCTTTTCCGGCGCTGCTGTCTACGGCAAGTAGCATTTGATGAAAACATTTTTGCTTATTGAGATATACTTCTCTGTTTCCAAGCCAAGGGTAACGATATGAGAATTATGTCTTGGGTTTAATTAATCCAGGGGATGTACAAATAGGACCTCTTCCCAGGTTCAATATTATACATTAGTACTGAATATCGAGTGATATTTCATGATTATGATGCAAAAAAAAATTGCTTACTTTTGTTGTATTATAATATATTACCCGGTTGACTGAAACAGGAGAAACAGCCTGAGTAATATCGAGCTAATGATTCTTTTTGACGCGTAGGAATTTAATTATGTTCGGTGGTTTCCCGTTAAAAGGATTGTCTCGAGTCACGTGCACAGAAGGAGTGTTGCTCTAACAACGGTCGAGTTCTAGTGGAGAGTCTGTTCGGGTCGTTGCTCAAAAGACGTTAAGAAGTGGATCGTGCCGGGGATGATCGTAATATGTTATACCCTCTTTGGGACATATTTCGAAAACCGGTTCCGATGGAAAAAAGCCAATGATACCTAAAACTCTAAAGCCAAGACCCCAACCAGAGCCCACTTAAAGATACGTACCTTTCGCTGTTTGTGTAGAGAGGTCTTTGTTGTTTAATCCAATGCGTTCCCCACTGGCGCGTCAGGTCGAATGAGATTATTTTAATATGTTCAACCTTTGAGCTATGGTTAAAAAAACATTGGGATATATACCTACATGTAGTTGTTAGTGTAGGTCAAATCTGGGTCTAGGAGAGTACTATTTCGGTTGGTTTCGGGTTTTTAGGAAGTACTAGGGCTAGGGTTGATATGAATGCCGAAATTTCATCTAGATTCCCGAGCACATCAAGTGGTCTGATGCATATGGACAATCACCTATTGGCTCTAGGTATTGCAGATCTTTAACTCTATATTATATCTTCTTCCAGCTGAACTAACCAGGAAAAAAGTCGGAGGCCGTAATATGGGAAACGTGCATCTGTGCTCTGTAGAAATCACTTAAAAGACATATGTAGAAATTTATTAAAATAAAGACACCCCCAAAACAATGTTTTAATAAATATCCCCAGCTGATAAGAAATACGCCAAGAAATAGCTTATAGCGACCAATTGCCCTACTATGTACGATTTCCTAAAAATTGCTTCCATCTGAAGACAAAAGACACAGGTTGGGAGCGGTTCTGTTATAATCCTAAGAATATTGAAGCTAGGAACATATACATGCAAAGATCAAGATAAGAGGATTCATGATCAGGATCTCAAGCTCAAGGTGATGAATTTTAATTATGAATACCATAATTCGTTACGTAGGGCGTTTCCTGCGGTTAAATGATTTCGATATTTCTTATGTTTTTGATATTAAAGTATTGATCTGAAAATCGATAGACTCAAAAGGACCCAGACCGATACAATCCAGAAAGTTGATAAATGCGAACTTGATTAGTATTTCGACATTCGATTATTGAATGTCATGTGATCGTACCAAGACGATTAGATCTTGGAACAGGCGACCTCCAATCAACTTTGGCGTGTTCTGCGATCACACCTGGCAGGACATGAGCTGTGAATCACCAATTGGAAGGGCTCTAAGCACTACTCTAGACTGCATACATGTAAGTACATGTACTTTACACACATGTACCTACGCGGGGCAGGCAATAAGAACCTGAAAATGCAAGCTGCAAGCAGGGGCTCAATTTGGTGTAGCTTTTCGCCAGCCACGAATCAGAGGTCGTTACCATAAAAAGTCATTTTCAGGTTCTTCTTGCCTGCCCCGAGTACATACATACATGTACTACTCTACATACAGTACAAGTGTCAGGAGCTTGGCATCATCGTGAAAATCAGCTGCAGCCATGAATGACGCGTTACCTATTCAAACTCCCAATGCTTGACCCTGGTGCCTTCACTACTTTCCAACCGGGCTTGACTTGGTGCAAAGAAATCACCAGAACGACCCTTGTGTACTGTACTCTACATATGTACCTGTGTATGCGCATACATACATGTATGCAAACCAACCTCCCTTGCTGCGCGTGCATATCTGGGGTAACTGTGTGTGGAGCTATTAAAAAGAAAAAACCAGTTCTTCCTCATGAATCAAAACATAAGAAGTCACTCGTTCATGAATCACTCGTGTTCATACTGGTCTGCTTGATTTCCACTTCAAGTTAACCCTTAGCATTACAGACGTTTAGAATTGTACGGAATAGACGGAAAAAAGTGACATGCAAAGAGCTAAAAAAAAAGAGCAAGAAAAAAAAAAAACTGCAGGCCCAAACCCAAGCCTAAGGTTATATGGAAGAACATAGCCCAAGACTATTCGTTATTCCATTCCTGCAACAATGATCCTCTTTTCCACCACCCCGCTAATATAATGTTTAAAGGAAAAAGAAAAAAAAGAATAAAGTCATCGGCACTTTCCACACAGCTGTCCCACTCCTGCACAGACTAGCCCAGCCCTTCCACACCAATGGAATCATATTCTTCCTGAATACCAAGAAAGCAAGATAAGAGTTAAGATTAGAAAGAAAAAAAGGAAAAAACACCAGCTCGACGTCCCCCTCGAAAACCAGAAATCAAGCAAACGCGCCAGATAGAATCAAAGCGGGACATAAATGATAGACAGCCTTGAGTGATATCTTTCCTCGCAAAAACAACAACACCACCGTCCCGAGGAGGTACGAGAAAAAAGAAGTTATACTGAAAGTAGTGACAGAAAAAAGTAATATAGACTAAAAAGAATTAACGTAAAAAGATATGAAACGAATAACGACCTTTTTTACTCCTTATTCACCAGTAATTGACCACGAACACCCCATTCCAATTTCCTTGCTGTTCTGTTGCCGAAAAGTCGCGAAATCCATAAAAATAAAACGAGGAGCAGAAGGGAACGGTCGGCGAGGCCATAGACAGAAAGTAATGATGCTCTTATGTTGTACATTATGGTCTCCATGTCGATGTATTTATTTTTAGGCTTATGCCGGTCCCGTCGATGGCCAGAATTGAAAGTGTTTGATGATAAGAGAGAGAAAAAAAAACAGGGTATTCGAGAAAATGTTTGATGGTAGTGGGAGATAATTTTGTTGAGCGTTGCGAGATTCGTTTCGGTAAAGTTGGGAAGGTTCCTGCCCCGTGGACTAGCAGATGACACAGCAGTTAGGTCCGCTTTGCTGAGGCGCGTATGGGTCTTCACGTTTGTCGACCTAGCAATGAGAAAAGGATAGAGTAAGTAAAGGCATCTAAGACTGAATCACGTGGGTCTAAAAATGGTCAAAAGTATGGAATACGATGTGACAAAGGCGTGTTGGCTTGAATGGAAATACGGTAAACGATAGAAGGATGCAAGAGCGGGAAAGCAACGAAGTAAATATAAACTTACCGATCCCCAAGTCGACGGTACCATAAAGTCTTTAGTAGTTTTTGTGTAGTTGATCATCCTAAAACGAGAATGTCAGCATGGTAAGCGTTGATAAAAAAAAGTTGTGAACTTGTGATGATAACATGTAATCATATTGATAACTTCAAGACATCATCGGGAAGTAAACTTGAAGATATCATAAACAAGTGAATAGGAAAATGGAAGACATACGATTGACAAGCCTCTGACACCTTTACTCGTGGTCTATCCAGATCCTCCCTCAGTCTTGCATTTAACTCTGTTAATCGTCTCAACTTCAACTCCGCCATCGTTTGTTTCTTTTCTTTTCCAGCAACCCCAGAATTATTATTATGAAGAGGCATCTCGTCTCTTGAGAACTGTGCCGAACGTTGTGAATGAAGGATTTAGTTCTAGCTGTCAGAGTTCGGAAGATAGCGATGAATGTTTAGGGCCACAGGATGATTTCGTTAGGGGCACCGACACTAGAAGAGAGTACAAGGTAAGAGAAAAGAAGGGGGTAACGCGAAATATTATTGAGCAGTGTGCAGTTTTCTTGAAGGAGAGGCTGAAGGTCGGATTTAGTAATGACTGGTAAGGAAACGTTCGAGAAGAGATCTTCTACCGTTTGTTTGAAAGGGGGCTCTTGGTTGTGATTATGGGGGTTGGAGTGGACAGTGGACAGGTGAGTGGCAGCAGCAGCAATAGCAGCGGCAGCAGCAGCAGCAACAGCGGAAGGCGAGCGAGCAGTCAGTCAGCTGGGGGGTGGGGGGAGGCGAGAAGGCAGACTGGTTGTGTCAGTTGTGTTAGTGGGAAAAAGGAGAACAATGTATCGCTACCGCGACAGGATTGTACGGTGATGGCTTAGTGCGATGAAGGGTGGAGGGTGGGCAAAGTGCCTGAGAAGAGGAAGGCCGCGGTACTGCGGTAGAGTACTGTGGTACTGCGGTACTCTCGGAACGGGCGAAGAGGGGTTGAATGCTTCTGGGGTACTTCTAGTACTTTACCTTGTCGACGACTCGGTCTGTCCCACAGTAATATACAGACTGAATACACTTGGGAAACACCAAAACAAGATCTACTGAGCCTTTTCACCTACTTACTTTATTGCTCGTCAAACGGTCCTCCAGCGTGTATGTATGTGGGTAATTATCACTGCAGACGAGCGAGCAAGAGCGGGATGGGCAGGAGGAAAACCCGAACGGTTGGCTCAGGGGGTGTGAGGGATGAAGGCGATTTGCTGAGCAAGACCTACTAGGTACTTAGAGATACTTTAGATAGGCACGGACAACGATTTTTGACGAGCAGCACAGAAGGGGAAGACTCTGAAATTTCGGGTCTGGTGCTGGGGCAACGGTAGGGAGAGACTCTGGAGAGAACTGGGAGAGTGGTTTCCACCAGTACTAAAACGGGCCAGCATACCCTAAACTGGGAATAGCGTACTAGTATTAGGCAGCGCAATGGGGATAGGCCTGTCGCAACACCGTGCAGGCTGAAGAAGGAGGACTGCATTTCTGCGACTACCAGGGGAGTAGGTACAACGCCTGGAAATGGAAGGGCATCCACCTCTTCGAATATTCAACATCCCCGCAACGTAGTGGCCTGAACTGCGAAGGATTCCCGAAAGAAAAAAAGGGCCCGAAAAAAGAAGGAGCAACAGTTCCACACCGAATTCCGAGACCTCCGGGCTTTTATTCGTTTATATAAAACAGATAAACGTCGCAGCTAAGTACATGTAGGTACAGTTATGCTTCAGCTGGTCTTTTTGGATACCAGAGTACCTTTTATTCCTCCTCGGGGGCATGCCAAAAGCTTGCATCTATACCTACATGTACTTTATATATACCAAAAACGGTTCTGGGAGTGTTCGGACGGTACAGTACATACATGTATGTTACTAAGTAATTTGAAAGATAATGGCGTGGATTGAGGCGTGGTGATTCACCATCCTCCATCTAGGTTGTAAACGAGGATTGTTACGCGAGCCTTGAAACGAGAAGTTCGTGCTCTCATAATTCAAAACAGATGCCTACATAATATATAAAATATATCATGGTAGAAAGTCTTATGCGTATTTAGGAGCAAAAGATAACCCTTCCAACTCTTCTATCTCTCCTATAGTAGTTATGGTACATAAGCCTTTGAACGCTTAGAGCAGTCACAGAACGCACGAAGAATGATGATGTTGCCTAAGGCAGCAAATTTGCGTAGAAAGGTTGCTTTGGCAAAAGGTCAAAAATTTACCCTTTTTGGCGTTTCGCTAAGGAAAAAATTACACTAGCCTCATCATCAATCTTCACACAGAACTTTCGCTACCTCAACTGCTACAGTTATCATCGCCATCAACCACCGACCACCAAAAATCGATCTCAGCTCTGGAAAATTTGGTTAATTCATAAATTTCCATTCTGCTGTGGTTAGTCTGCCATCATGGCCCCCCCTCCTCACGCAAAGCCTGAGAATGTTCTCAAGGTTCGTTATCCCTCCACGATACCCCACCTACCCCACCCCATAAAATTAATATTGCTAATCCATCCCATCACAGCGTGCGCAAGAACTTGTCGCTGTAAACAAGAATTCAGGTGCTCTCGAGCTCCTTCACGAACATGTCACCTCCAAGCGGTCCCGTAACTCTCCAATCGCATCATTGGAACCCGTTATGATCCTCTTCGTAGAGCTTTGTGTGAGCCTAAGGAAAGGAAAGACGGCAAAGGATGGGTTATATCAATACAAGAATATTGCTCAGAACACGAGCGTACAGACTATCGAGGTTTGAAACTCTCTTCGAATGCTAAACTACTTCCGTTGACACATGCTAGTTGGTTCTTCGTAGGTTCATCGAACTCGCCGAGGCAAAGGTTACTGAAGCCCAGGAACGGGCTGAGCAAATCACGGTTGATGCGATTGACGACCTTGAGGCCTCCGAGACCCCTGAATCTATTATGCTGTCTACAGTTTCCGGAGAACAATCCAGGGACCGCACTGACAGAGCCGTTGTCACTCCTTGGCTGAAATTCTTGTGGGAGACATATCGCACCGTTCTCGATATCCTCCGCAACAACGCCCGTCTCGAGATTATGTATCAGAGCACCGCCTTGCAAGCGTTTCAATTTTGCTTGAAATACACTCGTAAAACCGAGTTCAGAAGACTTTGCGAACTTTTGAGGAATCACGTTCAAAATGCAGCCAAGTACTCAACTCAAATGCATGCCATCAACTTGAATGACCCTGATACACTCCAGCGTCATCTTGACACTCGCTTCCAGCAACTTAACGTGGCCGTTGAGCTTGAATTATGGCAGGAGGCTTTCCGATCTGTAGAGGATATTCACACCCTTCTCAATCTTAGCAAGCGGCCTGCAAAGAACGTCATGATGGCAAATTACTACGAGAAGTTGACCCGTATTTTCTTGGTATCGGACAACTACCTATTTCACGCTGCAGCCTGGAGTAGATATTACAGTCTTCTCCGAACTAGCGCGGCTCAGGTTGCCGCTGGTCAGTCTACAAAGAAGGATTCTCCTGCAACCACCGAAGCTGATCTTAGCCGTGCCGCTTCTCTGTATCTTTTGGCTGCCCTCTCTATTCCCGTCATCAGCCAGGCTCGCTCCAAGGGCGCTCTAGTTGATGTTGACGAGGCCAAGAGAAACAAGAATACTCGTTTGACTAACCTCCTTGGCATGGCCAGGGCTCCTACTCGTGCTGGACTGTTTAAAGACGCCATCGGCAAGGGAGCGCTTAAACGTGCAAGACCGGAAATCCGTGATCTTTACAGCATCCTTGAGGTCGATTTCCACCCTCTTAGCATTTGCAAGAAGATCTCTCCGATCCTCACGCAGATTGCAGCGGAGCCTGATATGAAGCCGTATGTTTTGCCGCTTCAGCAGGTAATTCTTACCAGATTGTTCCAACAGCTTTCTCAAGTTTACGACACTGTTCAGCTGAGCTTCGTCATCAATTTGGCCTCTTTCCCTGCGCCTTTTGAAGTCACTCCTTCAGTCATCGAAAAATTCATCATGAATGGCTGTAAAAAGGGTGATTTGTCAATTCGCATCGATCACGCTGCGGGTGTTCTGACATTCGAGTCTGATATCTTTTCTTCTACAAAACCCCTCCATACCGGCTCTCCAACCGGATCTGCTGAGAAGGAGACAATGTCTGTCCAGAAACTCCAGAGCACCCCCTCGGAGATTGTTCGTACACAGCTTTCTCGACTTGCAAAAGCTCTTTATCTTACTGTCTCTCACGTTGATCCCGAGTTTCAGCAAGCTCGTCTTGAGGCTAAAGAAGCAGCCTATGCTAGAGCTCAAGCCGGTGCCCAGAAGGAACACGAGGAAGCTCTTGCCAGAAGAACTATCATTGAGAAGAAGAAGGAAGCTGCTGAAAGCGCCTTACTCAAGAAGGAGAAGGAAGAGGCACAGCAGCGTATGATCCGCGCTGAGGAGGCACGTGCCGCCGAAGCTGCTCGTGTCGCGGAGCAGCAGAAGAAACGTGAACTAGAGAGGCTCAGGCAGGAGCAGGAAAAGATTCGCAAGGAGGAGTTGAAAAAACAATTGGATGAATTGTCCCTCGATACCAAGATTGACGTTGAGAATCTTGAGGACCTTGACAGCAACCAACTGAGAGCCATGAAACTCGCACAGCTTGAGAAGGAAAAGAGGGAAATGGCTGATAAATTGAGAATCACTGGGAAGAGGATCGACCATCTTGAGCGTGCTTATCGCCGGGAAGAAGTCAAAATTTTGCCCCAAGATCTTGAAAGGCAGAGAGCTGAGGACTTGGCTGCCTATGAAGAAAAAAAGAGAATTACTCTCGAGAACTCTAAGAAGCAGCACGAAGATGCTGTTGCGTTGAAGAAGCGTCTGAGCAGGCTTGTAGTTCCTTACGAGAAGTTCAGGGACGAAATTAAACAACAGAGACACCAAGAGTTTGAACAGAGAAGGAGGGCAGCCGAGAAGCAACTCAGGGCTGAGATGGAGAAGAGGAGACAGGACGTCCGCGCTGAGAGAGAGAGAAAGAGGCTTGCAGAGGAAGCTGCGGAAAGAAGAAGAATAGAGGAGGAGGAGAGAGAACGCCAGGAAGAGGAGGAGAGACGGAAGAAGGAGGAGGAGCTTAGGGCTAAAATGGCGGAGGAGAAGATCAAGCGTGAAGAGGAGAGGAAGTATGTCTTCTTTCTCTTATATATCTATTTATTTATGCCCATACTAACCCAACCGTTTTAGGAAACTTGATGAAATTGCTGCAAAACAACGTCAACGTGAGCAAGAAGCCGAAGAACGCAGAGCTCGCGAGAAGCTCGAACGTGATAACTTTAAGCGTCCTTCTGCGCCCGAAACCACTGCACCAGAATCTGGAAGCGGTGGTCGTTGGGTCGCACCCGCACGAGGAGGTTGGCGTGACCGTGTCGCTGCGAAGGGAGGTGATGTGGACTCCACCCCACCACCACCACCCCCTCCAGTCAATGGTTCCGGTGCCGCTTCTTCTTCAGGCGCTCCTACTGAACGTAGAAGGCTGAACATTGCACCACGTACCGCGCCTATCGCCAGGGAAGAGGTGCCTTCGCCTCAGGCCGCCCCAGCCCGGGAGGTCGAGAGGCCCGCTGCTGATGGGCCTTCCGCGGATGCCAGACCTGGAGTTTACAGACCTGGGGCACTCAGTGGTCGCAAATTGCAGGCAGAAAGACCGGAATCTCCAGCCGCCGGTGCTGATGGTGAAAAGCCCGCCCCCAAGGGTAAATACATCCCTCCTAGTCAAAGGAAGGAAGCTTCAAGTGGAGGTGGCGGTTGGGGAAGAAAGGGTTAAGCTCTTTTTCGCATTTCCTTTTGTTTTAGTTTTAGTCGATTTTCTATTGTGAAAAATCATAGAAAACCAAACAAACAGGGATGGGACATAGGGGGACAAAAAAAAAAAAATAAAGAAAAAAGCAAGTTTTCGAATCGCGAGTTGGGTTTTGGTTTGGATGGTGGGTAGTTTTCTTTCTTCATTTTACGGAATTACTCCCTGGTCACGGTCATCGTGTTTGCGTATTGGGCGGAAAGTTGGGGTTTCAAAAATATCTAGGTTTTTACGTTAAATTAGTACCTACATTTCCCCTTTCAAACATTTACTTGATCTTTGTCTTATTTCTGAGATTCGCCCACACTCACTGCCTGTGGGGATAAGACTATGTGATATGATATGTTTCATTTGGTTAGCTTTTCGTAATTGAGCCGATAAAGACATATTATTCGTTGACAGTGCTAAATCTATGATATGTATGAAAAATGGTATTTATGCTAAGTATCATAATTCTTACGTATCCATCCTTTGGGTTCGTTACCCCCATCATTGGAATCTTCGCCGAGAGTTTTATCACCACTAAGCATATCAGCAACTTCTTGTGGGTAACCCGGTATATACAGCTTTACACCAATCGGTGAATCTATTGATTCTAGTGAGGAAGTAGGGAGCTGGAAACAAGGTCTCCCATATATATACATGCACAGTACAGCCGGAACTCCCGTAACCTAAGAAATAATAAGATGGGATTCAATCTACTATTAGGAGAAAGTTTGATGGTGTCTAGTGTCAACCATGCTTCGCATTATCATTGTTTGGAGACGTCTTTCGAGCTTCTTCGATCATAGTATCGATCCCCTTCGACTTAAGTGCTTTCTACAGATATTTAGTAATTATTTGAAAAGGCGAGCGTGGGGTTTGAAGCTCACATTAAGACATATTTGATATTCCTTGAACAAATCCTTACACTCGTCCGTCTGAGACTCCCCTCTCAAGTACTCTAGAAGTTTGCCTAAGTCAGCTCCCTAGATATTGCGCCACAAGCTTTCTGCTAGAGAGGGTCCAGTACTTTCCGAATACCACTTTATGAAACAGGTATCATAACGTTCCTTTTTCTCCGAGCATTCCTGTATCGGGAGAACCTTATTAGAGGCTACGTGAAAAAAATCGTTGAATTGGTGACGCATGGTTTTCTTTTTTTCTTTTTTTGGCTACTTCGTCTTTGGTTTGTACTTACTGGGTCTAAAGAGGCAGACATTGCCTTTGCTTTTTTATATAAGAAACAGTTAGAAAATGCTGCGTGGACGAAAAAGGATTTGGTGGTACGACTATGTGGTGATTTTCGTTCTGGGTTGAGGATGGAGTGATGTCCTGTTACGGAAAAACATTTTTCCGTGAAGGTAACAGGGGTTTGACAACTGCAGAGTCCATCGTCGTTCCACTTTCATCGTTTATCTCCTGTCTATGCAAGAATGTGTTTCTACAATTATGATATCGTCGAGTAGACCCGGACCCCACTGAATATTTTGTTTCCGGAAGAGTCCAGTGGGCGATAACTACGTGCATGCACTACATGTATGTACTATTTACTCTGGAATTTTCTAAGGCAAATAAGTTGGATCAGGCCGATCATGTTCATCAATTACAATCTTCGCAGGCAACATTACTCCCGTCTTTTGGGGCACATGCGGGGTTAGTTTGCTGGGCCTGTCCTGCCTGCTCTCCCTGTGTTTCGTTTGTTTCCCTTACTACAGACGATAACACTGTTTCTGTGCTTGGCTTTTTCTTTCCATCAACATGCCCGAGATCCCTACTGGGGTCTATCACATCACGCACTCGCTTTTTGAGTTCCTAAAAAGCTATGAGTAAGCGACAGGACTTCAAATTGCTAACAGTCTCGATTTTTGGCACGAACCTTTGTCTCGGGGAATCCACCATCAATTTTTCTATCCCAAAGGACAGTTTTTACAGTCGCCGACCCATCTTCGGATATCGAAGCTGGGTTTTGGTGATGTATCTCGACTATGAACACGCCACCTGTTGCCGGAAGCAGTGAGACCTCACCTAAAGAGGTTGAGAATGTAGAAAGAAGCTCTTGAGCGAACTATCATTCGTAAGAATTGGGCCAAGAATATTTCCGGAAAAGCCCACTCACATAAGCAGCACCTAAAGAAACCTGTAAGCGACCATCAAGGACACAAGGGAAATCCAATTACGTGTACGTACGCAGAAGCCATTTGCACTGTGTACAAAATTGTATTGTTACACGTGGATATTTAATGCTTTCCATCTTTAGTTGGGGTTTGCGAAATAATTGGTGGTCTCGAGGGGCTCCACGGTTGTTACTTGTTGCGGGGAACCCAGTTTAGCGTGACGCCATTTATACATGTACTACATACATGTTAGGTGTCATCATAGATCACTCGAATTCCATCAATGCAGTACGCACCATGTGTTGGATTCAAGTCCCCCAACAGAGCTGTACTTAAGCTCCAACGCCTCCAGACCCTCTTTCCATCTCATCATTCCTCCGCTTTATTACTAGATTTCGAACCCCACCAACAATTATCAAATACTCTCAACCAAATTCCTCTGTGCTATCCTAATTCTTCGAATAGGCTTCGGTCTCAAAGCATTGTGCCGGAGACAAATACATTCTTTCTGTGGATTACGTACTGCACCCCATCGTCTATTATTTACCACATGATCCTAACCAAGTCTCATGATTCAAAGTAGATGAAGATGGAGAATCCTCTCTTTAAACCCAGAATGCTAAATCTTAGAAGTTTTATTCCAACAAGTTCCAAAGATCCTTCAACTGGAACTCTAGTTATTCAAAAAGACTATCTCACTCTACCGAAGAACAGCAAGTGCGGAATCCCTGGCATCTTCCAAATTCCGGTTGATGAAAAGGGCTTATGTAGTCCATCCTACGATTTGGTCACTAAAGGTGTATCGTTTGCTGGACATGACATTGTCCGCTGTATCGTTACTCCAGCATCCGATATAACTGTTATTCCCTGTGATCTCAGCGCTTTTATTATAGAAAAGAATGGATTTCAAATTGAGAAGACCAATTTTTTTCTTCAGTCTTCCAAAGACAATAAATTCACCATAATGACTGGCGAATCCACTAGGGTAAATCTTGGCTTAGTGCTCCGGAGTGCAAGAGATTTGACTCAACGATTTCAAATCGATGGCGCAGTTTTACTAAACCCTGGGCTTTCGATCCAGCTTCCGCCCGAGGGTATACCTGTATGTCAACTTGGAATGGACTTCATCACTAAGTATCCATACCTTTTTTATGTACCTAGGTCCGATCCTTCTGGGATGATAGACTTTATGATTGCAAGGGATCCGTTTGCCTCGAGGCCCTACAGTGTTAATGAACAATTTTACAAGACAGTCATCGTTCATGTCGATGGGTACTATGACAAAGATACAGGAAAGATTGGATATGGGGTCTTTTTTAAATCCGGTTCTGTTCTCAACATGTTATCAGGTGTAAGCATGTATGACAAAGCTGGAAACAAACATACGTCAAAGCTCAGGGAACGCGGAATATTGATGGCCATAATCAAGACGCTTCATGCTGTTAGCGCCTTTCCTATTGGTCGTGACTTTAGAGGTGTTGTTATCAAAAGTACCGACCCTTCTATCGCCAGGTTGATGGCTGTGACACAGGTTACAATGAAGAATATTTTCACAAATTCAAAGAGAATTAATGAGGACGATTTTGATCCTATGGAAGGAGGTTACTACTACCCTAACGCCAATAGAGATTTGATGCTTTATTTCTGTCGTACATTCCTTCGAAAAGAACTTGGGTTCAAGATTGTTTTCGAGGACTCAAAGGTCTGCGGCGAAGCACAGGCAGCGAATATGCTAGCCATTACTGCATCTCAGATGGAGGAGTTTTCTGTGACAAAGAAACTTGATAACCCGATCAACAATAGCGCTTGGTCATCTACACAGACTCGATCTAGAGAGAAGAATAAAGCAACTTGTTCTGACATAGCTTCCTTATCAGATAACGTCAGCTTAGAGGAAGACCCTCTGTATATCAGTCTTGGGCTCGATGGGTACTTCAGCATTCAACAGAGTAAAGTCCACGCAATAATGAAAGCCGCAGATTTAGCGGGTACGGATTCTCAAGAAAAGGTAGAGAAGTCCACAGATCTGGCTTTAAACAAAAAGCACATCTCTATTTCAAAGCCGATAGCGGATACAAAAACCAAACTTGAAGAAAAGATAGGGATCTCCATCAACGCAAAGACAGCCATTGGGGGTTCCATCGATGAAGGGTATTATAGGTATGGGAAAGGAAAGATGAAAGAGGAATCAACATTTGCAAAATCAAAATTGGAATATAGTCATGAGATACAAACGAATGACCCGGTGCAGAAGAAAATGGAAATGAGGATTCGGGATGAGGCGGATGCCAGAATTTCGGAAGCCAAGAATGAAGGAAAGAACAAGTATCTCAGTGCCGAAAAGCAGATGGTGATTCAGATGCAACATATTGCTGAGGAAGGCTTAGTGAAACAGCAATTAGTTAACAAGCAAATAGACGACGAGCTTACTGCGACTAAGGCAAATTTCAACAAGAAACGCGAACTCATCGTGAACGAAACTAGAGTAAAAATCGATACGATCAACGCAGAAGTAGCCCGGTGCCTGGAGTTGGTTGGGCTAAAGGCCCTCGAGGATGCTGGCAAAAATCAATCCATGTCCAAGGGAAAAATGAGGGAAGGGACAGAATGGTCTAGAAATAATGCGTCGAAAAGATTTCGGCCACTCAGGGTCAATTATAATACAGAGTCTGAGTAGTATTGTCGAAAAGAGATTCAGTGTTATCAGCCATCCAGGCGCACCTATCAATAATTACTTATTGAGGGAGATTATAGGTGGATTTTCTTCTTTTTATTTCCTTTAAGGCTAGCTATGCTATTAGGGGGTCATTACAATCGTTGTATCGTACATGCCAGGTGCGCATGCAGGTACGTTTACTGATTGGTACTTTTTTTTATTTCCGCCGTAAAGGGAATAATTGATTGATATCACTGTAACTGAGAACTTTACTTGCCATAGACCCATGTAGCAATGATATCAAGAAATTCTACAAAATGCTTTGGCCATTGACAATGACATGCCAAATAGTTCAAGGTTATTGTAGGTACAACAGAAACCCCGAAATACATACTGCGTACATGCATGGTTAGCCATACCTGATCATAACAAGTAATATTGCATGCCCAGTAGAAAGATCAATTACATGTAGAGTAGATTGAATATTTGATATGGACTCTGTGGTATCAGCCAGTTGGGCAAGTACTCTGCTGTGTATGCATGTATCTAATACCATGTAATTCAGAGACCTCAGTTCAATACATGTTTGTTCCAATCGGAATGGAAAATAAACGCAACCCTGTCCGTGGTACCGTACATACCATACCGTGCATTGCTTGCATGGAAGCGAGATCTGACACCCTGGTCTAATAAGCATTCAGTTAGTATTCCGGCCGCCCCCATAGAAACATGATACTGGGAGAACGTCTCGATAGCCGACGCCTAAATATGGATTTCTGAATTGCGGATCTCGTGTGAGAAAAAAGAAAGAAATCATACTCTACTGACAAGTTACACTATGTGTGTTTGAGAATCTGAACACGAAATCTCCACCTATCTAGCGCTCATGATGTCAATGGCTCAATATCCAACCAGGCAACATCGTGGCAAGGAAGGCGGTAAAAATAATTCCCAGGTACTTGTCGTTGACGGATACCTACATGCCGCATCTGCCCCATGAGGCGCACGCGAAGCTTTCCCGCTGCGGACCCCCATCGTACAAGATTAAAACGTGGGCAGTAGAAAACACTAGTAGAGAGTATACAGGCGCGCCGGGACCATCATTGTCTGTGCCTGGAGGCGTTATTACCGTGCAAACACGCCCCCTCCTCCTCCTCGTGGCGGTTATGTATAAGGCTGGGGTCGCTTCAAAAGCCCAAGGGGTATAAGTTCACGTTATATATATACCACGACATTACTTTAGACGGCATGGACAAAACTGTGGTTGAGATTAGTGACCGCGCCAACAGCTTAGCCATGAAAAATAGTACGCTTTGAAGCCTCACCCGGAACATGGCATTTTAAACTTCACCGTAATTTAGGAGATCAGGGGGGCATATAAGAAATTAGGGTTTGGCAGCCATGCTGCTGCTGCGTGCTTCGGACTGCAAAGAGCCTAACATCGGGGTAGGTGTCTGGGGTTGTTATTCCCTCCCTACATAGCTACGTAGTACGAGTGGCTGAAGCTCTAATTAAGTTGACTTAGGAATTGGACTGATATCTACTAGTTTCCCCACTTTCTCCCCGTTAACTTGGGTACTCGCTCTCAATGTGTTTCTTTTAGATTTGGTATCGCTGTTGCTGATCTATGATAGTGAAAAATATATTAAGCCACGTTATTGATCTGGTCCAAGTATATTACCCCACGTTATTGAGCCATGTGGGAGAGGGGAGAGATCTAGAGGGTGGGGATGGGCCGACCAGCCGGCGCCTCTAATAGCCTGCAAAGCCTACAGGTAATACTCAGAGGTATGAGTGCATGTACTTCTACATCTCTCCGCGTGTTTCACGGTCAGTCTCTATTTGGGAGGCTAGGCCACGAAGACAGTTTTTGCTCATTAGTAAACCTAATCTTTACTTGTGAATCTCGTTTGGCTGCCAAGTCACTCGTGTTTGTGATCAATCCTCCATCTATTCCGATAAATCCATATTTTTCAAGCAGTTAGAATTGCTGAATATCGCCGCATCGCCCCTGGACCTAATAATATGTCGCAGCTTTTACGGAAACAGGCGAAGGGATAAATACTGTACCGTAAGAATTGAGCCAATTATATGGTGATTGTCTGTGCTGAGAGATAAATACCTAGATGCAGAGGTAGTTGATACATGCGCTTTCCAGATTCCGGTTGCTCCGCTCTTCGGCCCGCCGGGTAGAGTAGATTAATTAATGAAGCAAAAGTAAACATGGGAAATGGTGTCCGTCGATTGTGATCAATTGTACCTTTAGGAGGAAAAGTAACGTAAAGGCCCTTTTCCTTATCGCTAGAGGATGTGCAAATGACTGGTGGTTAGCGTTTTCTTGGGAGAACTAAAGTTTGAGTCTGACCCAAAGCTGTCACCACTGCATGATGCGCAAAATAACAATAATATGGGGATTGTTTCGAGTGTCGCTTTATCAGTGCAGTAAAGCGTCAATAGAAGAAGAAAAAAGCCTCCAGCGGTTCGGTTCGTGCAGTTATCACTCACCAGTGGTATCATAGATATTTTTTGTTTGCGTTGTTGAAACCCAAGAGCCCTTTACGAATGCAGCGATCATGCAGCTGGATCGGCAAGGTGGACCCTTTTAAATCGTTAAGGCGGCCTTGCGGACGCTGTGCGCATTCGCCACGTTTTCCGAGACAGCAAGCCCCTGACCCTGCCACAGAGAACAGAAACCCAGGGAGGTAGGGTAGGTATGTGACAAAAGAATATAATTCCCTTGCCTTTCCTGCCTGGATCCCCGTACCTTCTGACGTTGACAGTTCCCGTTGAATCTGAATAGCTCCGTCGTGCTGCACCCTTTTCTATTCCACTCTTACCTATATCCTGATCCTCAATTCCGGTGCTGGTGTTCCTCCTCCCCGTGCAACAACAACCCACTTCCCTGTGAAACGACAATAAAGAAAGTCACAAGAGAATAATAGTCTCTGCGGTCGTTTCACCTTGTTGCTTGCTCAGCCCATTTATCTTCCGTATCTCGGTAAAGCTCGTTCCGTCACTTGAATCAACAGCCCCTTATTAAAACTCCTTGGTCCCACTTACCAACTCTCGACTCTCAAACCCTTCTTCACCAACAGTACACAGCTCGTTTTTTTTTTTTTTTTCTCTCTCTTTCAAAACTTGCTCGGCCACCTACCTTCACACAAAACCCACCCACTTTACTATATGCCTACTTCGCTTGAATCTTCCACGCCAATGATTGTGAGTTCCCCGCTTTATATTCCGTCTGGTTTAAAATTCCCCTCACGGTAATCTTTATTTTCCGCAATGAACTCTTTTCTAATGCACTTTTTCATTTAGTCCAAGAGAGATACCCGTCGGTTTTCGACCTACACAAACGTTTCCTCGGACCCGTCTATCGCTGGTTCCGAAAAGGCGGCTTTTTTCGAAATCGAATCTGGTTTACGCAGAATGGAGGACAGACGCTTGATGAGCCAGCGATTTGTGCCCACCGAACAGAAAAGTGAGATGATCTCAAAGTTGGCTCTGGGTGCTAAGTTGGAGAGGGCTTTGAGGTGGAGGATGGACAAGCAAGACGCCGTTGCCAGACCACGATCAAAGAGCGGTTAAATCCACTTTGCTTGGGTAGGGGTTTGGGGGTTTTGGGGGGGGAGGGGGGGGTGTGAATTTGACCATGGGTTTACTTCTGGGCCAAAATATCTATTAGAAAGAGGCATGGAGAATTATTTTGGCGACACAGACCGACGAACGCACCATACATATTCCATGGATATTTGTCCATTCACCTGGAGCATTGCGATGGACCATAGCTGTTGTTGGCGAATTATGTGCGAAAAGGACATTTTCGTGGTGCGGGTACATTTTTGAGGATATTCATGGCTGGTTAGCGAAACTTACAAGGTTTCTCTTGGGTTTTTTTTTCTTTTTCTCCCGCGCTTTTTGGGGATCTTACTTGGTTCTTTCTTTTCTTTAATGGTCTGCTTCTTTGGCACATTTTCGGAGGCTTCATATAGCGGCGGTAGTGTTGTGTTGTTGGTGAGTGGGTGGTGTGGATGTGTGGTTTATGTTGCATGATTATGTGGTTTCCACTGATCTTGTGCTGTACTCTTTAGTCTGCATATGGACTCGATTTGCAGGATCCTTTCTTGATCTGCGAAAATGTGGGGTAAAGGTGAGGCTGCAGATTATTTCGGCTGCATAGAAAAAGGGCATACTTCACAACGTTTCGCTCATGTGTTGGTTACGAGTTCCTTTGTTTGCATTTTTACATTTGATTTTTTTTTTTTTTTTATTTTTACATTTGATATTTTTTGTTTGTTTTTACGTTCTATGATATGCGCTGCCATTTGGTTGTAAATGTTTTCTTTCTTGCAAATTAAAGGTTGTCTTTTTCATGTTACATGTATGTTTCATTTTCTTGGCTTGGAGCTGGTCGTAGTGAGAAACGTCTTTCACAAATGACATCGAAGAGAAAACGCCTTGGCATCTGTTTCGCGAATGTTATTGTCATCATCAAGGATTCGCTTCACTAAGCGAAAAATCGTTGGATGTGGGATTTTGTGACTTGTGGTTGCTCAAAGTTGGTTTGCAAACACGTAAAGAAGCGGATATACTTGTAAATTCTAATACGAGAAATTCCAGTTTTATATCGTGATTTTGGATACTGTGCTGATTTTATTTTTCTTTTAATAGTTTTTTTTTTGTATATAGCTTTAAAGTAGTTTGTGCGGGAAAGGACCGGCTACACTAGCAAGCCCCACTCAAAGGGAGGCCTTTTTTTTTTCCCCCCCCCAGTCCTCTTCACAACAACATCGCCCACTCTCTTTCCCTTTCTCCACATCCTCTCGGGACGTTTCATCATCAATCAAAACAATCAACCTGATTTCTCCCAATCTCCATCAACTTCTGTTGATTATCGAATCATCTCTCCAGCCTAACTGAATCTTATTCAGCTTTTGGTGCTCTTCCTTTTCCCTTGCGTCGTTTCTTAGATACGCCCTCTAGGCATTGACTACCTTGGATTTTCTCACATAAATCCAAACCATCTGGCATAGGTATAATTAATTTTATTTGTTTTCGAATATCTGTCACTTTGCCCCTCGGAGTCTGACGTCGTATTCCCTCTTAACACATCCCTGTAGCGGGGCATTTTCTATATACTTTGACGGCCCTCCATACGTTATTTTTTTTTTAATTTTTTTTTAATTTTTTTTTTTTGCTTACCTCCACTACCTTTGATTTAGGCAAACAACTGTCTGCACAAAACTTGAATATGGCGTCTCCTCAGCCCCCCGTTGTGAACACAAATGGTAGCTACCTTCAGCAGGCGGACCCCCAGTCTTTTCAGGCGAACCCAACTGCTGGTACGGCACCCAACTACCAGACACAAAGCGGTGCTCCTCAACAGGCGTCTGCCACCGAGTCTGTTCCTAAGGATGAAGTTGGTTGGTACTTCGTAGAGCAGTATTATACCACCTTGAACAAGACACCGGAGCGTCTTCATGTGAGTTCCCGTTCCTCAATTGCTAGTAGAAATAGACTTTACTGACTGTAGGCAATCTATAGCTGTTTTACAACAAGAAATCTTCGTTCGTTTGGGGTACAGAAGGAGAGCTACTCCAGCTTGCTACCGGTCGCCCGGTAATAACACCTAACCTTCCGGTTCTCGAATGATGATCAGAAACACTGACATGATACCATTGTAGGCCATTCAAGAAAAAATCCAGTCCTACGAATTCAAGGACTGTAAGGTCCGTGTCTCCAACGTCGACTCCCAGGCCTCTGCGGACAATGGGATCGTCATTCAAGTTCTCGGTGAAATGAGCAACAATGGCTTGCCAAACCGCAAGTTCTCCCAAACCTTTTTCCTTGCGGAGCAACCTAACGGTTATTACGTCTTGAACGACATCTTCCGTTACTTGAAGGATGATGAGGACATGGAGGAGGGTGAAGACTACGAGGAGGGAGAAGTAGAGGATATCCTAGAAGACCCTGCTGTAGAAGCTGTGGTCAACGAGGCTGTTGAAATTGCTGTTGAGGAATTGGTCGAGGCCGTAGAGGATCTGTCTACCAAGGAGACGGTGAAGACTGAAATTGAGATTGAGGACGACAAGATCAAGGTTGAAGAGACCGTTACTGTTGAGCCGGCTCTGCCTGTTGCGGAATCTCAAGATGTCCCGCCTTCAGTTAACGGTAACGTTGAATCTGTTAATGGAGACGCTCCTGCGACTGAACCAGAGGCAAACCCAGAGCCTGAGGCAGAGCCAGAACCAGAACCAGAACCAGAGCCGCAGGTTGAGGAGCCCGCTCCAGTAGCACCTGTTGAAGCTGTGCCCACCCTGGTCGAGGAGAAGAAAGCAGCCCCCCCAGCTGCGAAGGAGCCTGAGCGTGCCCCTACCCCCGTAGCAGTTCCAAAGGCCACAGTACCAGTAACCCCGGCAGCCCCAACACCAGCACCTGCACCGGCACCGGCACCCAGAAAAACATGGGCCGATCTTGTTGCTGCTAGCGCCAAACCCGCAGTCCTAGTTGCACCAGTTACTACTGCTCCAAGTGTCCAAACCCAAGCAACATCTACTCCTTCTGCCCCCCCTGCCGCTGCTAGTACCGCTGCCACCACTGCCGCCGCCGCCACTTCACCAAGTGCTCCCGCAGCACCTACCAGTGGTTCCCAATGGCAGACCGCTGACAGCAGCAAACGTCGAGCAGCCTCGAGTGCCAACTCTGCCAACCCAACAGCGGCACAAATCAGGAACGTTCCCGAGAGTATTACCCAACAGGTCTTGAGAGAAGCCCTATCAAAATTCGGACTGAAGAGGTGTGAACTCGGTCGACCAAAGGTATTTCTTACAGAACCTGTATAATTTTCAAGAAACTAACATGTTCTTAGGGATTTGCTACTATTGATTTTGAGGCCCACTCTGGATTCGCTGCCGCTATAGCAAACCCGCTTAAAATTGGCGATGTCACTCTTACTATCGAGGAACGTCGCCGTGCCCCCACTGGGGCTACTGGAGGCCGCGGTTCTACTTCCGGTAGGGATTATCGATCCAATAGTCAGGGTGGACGCGGAGGATTCACTCCTCGCGAAGGAGGCTATAAAAACGAAGGCCGTAGCGGAGCTCCCGGAGGAAGAGGAGGCTCCAGGGGAGGGTCATACCAAGCAAGAGGTGGTATTAGGGCCGGCGGCGCGCCCACTGGCTCTAACTAACTGAAAATCCTCCACTCGGCATTGTGATTTACAGTGGTGAGTTTTCATGTGTTAACTCGGTGTTCAAAAATCTTATAGTGCTTAGAAATTTTGAGCCATACTGGATTCAATAGTGGTCTTGTTTGTTTGACCGTAAAATAGGAAGAAAGGCTACCCTAATATCCTCATCTCTCTTTTCAATCTACTCGGTCTTTTCCCTCTCGAGTAGTTGAAACGATTCTCGTTTGTCCTCATTGCGTGGTAATGTCGCTTTTTTTCTCTCTCTTTTTCGCTTCCGCTGTTTATTCTTATCTCCTGGTTTTGGTTTTGGAAATATTGTGTTTCATGTTTCATTTCATTTGCTAGGCTCTTTCAGTCGTCATATTTTGCTATTGAATCAAGCACTGTGGGCGGAATCGTGGAGTTTGGTGGGAGGCACTTACTGGTGGGATGTATTCTTGACTCATTGACAGGCACATGAAGTGGGGAAGTGTCTTTGTTTTTACTTTTCTTTTTTTCCTTCTCTTTCCAAAAGCTTCGGCGGCTGTTGATCATTTTTCGGTTTGATTGTTCGGGAGGGGTTTTTTTCTTCGTCACCTCAGTTCCACTATACCGTGATTCGCTATACCATTATTCTGGTCTGCTGGTGTTTTTTTCTTTGCCGGTTCTTTCAGAAAAGACCTCACGGTTCGGGCTAGGTCCCCCTCCCATCCTATTTCCTTTTCCCTCGGGACGATACATTGATCGGTGATATTTCGAACTTTCTTTTTCTTTCCTTATTGTATTGTTTGGGGATACTTGTCGGAAAAGTAAGGAACAAAAAAGGTTGATGGGAGTAGAGTAGGAAAATGGAAAATGGAAAATGGCGTATTTATTGTTGGATTCATGTAATCAAAAAAAACTGGGTAGCTTTACTTTAGTAATATCTAAAGCTTAGATTTGCACCATGGTTTGAAATTATCTGGGTTTTCGTCGAGTAATTTACTCTCCAGACATTCTAATTTCTGAAAGCCTTGAAATATGCTTTTTTTGGTTGACCTTTTGCAGTAGCTAGTGTGGCTACATGTAGTACTTGTAGCTATACATGTATTCAGGCCCACCAACATACGGTTACATACATGTACCTTTTACTTGCCCTAACCCAGGTTACGACACAGTCTTAAGTAATGTTTTTCTAGTACTTCTGTATGTACAATGATAAGAGATATTAAACCACTTAGATGATCTCAATTGACCTAAAGCTAAATTATAAATCGCGGCAAAGAAGCCGCCGAAAATTCAAATGCTAAACCATACCTATACATTACATCTCTACGTCCGCACAGGTTCAACTTACCTTAATACCTCAGAGCGTTAGAGCATGCTGTCGATGAATTTCCGGTATTAAGGTGAGTTCAATTAACACCTTGAACTTTTACTCGGCTCGGGGTTGCTTACCCCTTCATAGGATCTGACTCGGTACTACTTACTACATGTACTTCATCCGATCTAGCTCAGCTTTACTTCACGCGATCTGGCTCAGGACTACATGTACTTTATGAAGTCTGTCTCGGTACTGCTTACTCCTTCAAATGATTTGGCTTGGTACTACTTTACATGTATACTACTTCATGCGATCTGACTCGGGACTACTCATGGAGTCTGACCTAAACCGACGCCCTTTCCCCATAAATACAGGCCTCCAATAAGCCAGGTGTAGATCGCGATAAAAAGTTTAATTTATATGTTCTAGATATATAGAACGTAAATGAGACCTATGTAATTTTGGCGTCTAACCCTAAACGTTCATGATATCTTTTCCTTTAATGACCACAAATCTTCACTAGTAAATAACCATTCGCTTACCATTTCATTTATGCGAGATACCACTGTTTATTTAGTATTGTTTTATTTGTTGATTATCTTGCTATACGTGATGGGAGAGTCATTGACACTCTCGCTAACATCAAAGATTAGTCACAATACGTCTTACTCCACTGCATAGAAGAAACCTTGGGTATTCTAGAGGTGATGTACATACCTACACGATCATGCATGGTTAATCTAAATGTGGGGAAATAAAGGCTTGAACTGCTTCACTGCGTCGGTAGTGTTGTCTCTACTAGTATTTGCTCCCCCGAGATGCAGGCTGCAGGTTGACACATCGCCCCGGTCGTGTGCCCTGTAACCCCTCTCAGGTCACAACACTACGCCGCACCTGCCGTCAGTTGGGACATGCACTGGTACTCGATACCTAGATCGCAGCTGCTCCTCATCCACCTCCATCCACCTCTCCACCTACGCACTCATACGTTGCTCATCTCCTCCCAGTCCTGCTCCACTTGTTTCCCTGTTATGTTTGTTCCTCCCCCCTGCAGACGCACTCAAAATCCGTGAACCCTTAGAAAGAAGGGTAGAGAGAGTATTTAGATTCATCACTTTGCCCCGACCAGGACCATCTCGAAGTGAACAGGGTTGGTTTCGCGTCTCTTTGCGCCTCCCGTACCCAGGAACGCCGAACTCGTCGGTGTTTAGTTCCGCGAGCTGCTAGCTCTCTCCATCAGCTATCGGATAAACCCCGCTATCGCAACACCTCACAAATACCTCCCCCTCCTCATTCACCCGGAAGCCCCCATCTACCCCGTATCTTAGATCAGCTAGTTTCTTAGAAGAAAAGAATAACAATAATCTGCTCTCTACCACATATTGTCGCATGAGGCCAACTTCATCAGAAGCCCTTAACCAGGGCGTTGTAGGGACAGGCGGAAGATCAAGGAAATCGTCGAGCGCTGAACCGACAATGACTTCTGGCCTTGCCAGCTCTAGCTCAACTACTGGAGAAGATCAGCAGCAGCAGCAACAGCAAAATCATTCGCCGATGCACACGGGCAGCACTTCAATGACTTACTTTCTCGCAGATGAAGCTACTGTGAACGCCTCGGTGGTGGGTTCTGCCAGCGCAAGTGGCACTTTTGGAGTTAGAAGCCTGAATGGTGCTTTGGAAGATGTCGAATCTGCTCGTCAGAGGAAGGGGTCTTTTGTATCTACGGTGTCGACTGAGTTTTCCCAGCAGTCGAGAGGTGACAGTGAAGACGAGGAAGATGACGACGACGATGACGAAGAAAGCGATGACGACAGGGCTCTCGACGACCGTTCGGTGGCATCTTTCCAATCATCGATACATCCAAGCTCAGGTTCCACGGGACGTACGCCACCAGACCTCTTGTCGCAGCCTTTAACTCCTATCCTAGGGCCAACGCCAGATCCACAAGGTACACCGTTACGAAGCCCATCGGGGAATTCTTATAGGTCTGAAGAGGACGTGATGAGTGAGCCGATGGAAAAGAAAGATCCTGGAAAGAGCCCCGAGAGTTTGCTTTCGCCTGATGCATCTATAGCTCCGCAACTCATCATGCCAGAGATCACGATTCCAAGCAGGCGACCTTTTACGTTGCGAGGGAAGAATATAGGGAGATTGAAGGTTCTGATCGCTGGAGATTCTGGTAGGATATTTATTTCATATACCTATGTATCTTTCGTTTTTACTATAGCTCGTAGTCTTGCTTACACCTCTTCAGGTATTGGCAAAACATCCTTGATCAAGTCTATTGTGCAGGCTTCAGAGGACATTGTTCATGTCGACCCGATATCCACTGGCGGCTCACAATCGATGTCTCGCAGTAACTCGTCATCCTATTTCCCCGCAAACAACCGCTCCGGTAATGATAGTACAAAGACCATATCGGAAATCTATGCAAGCACCAGGCCATATCCGCATTGGTGGTCAGAGCTGGATGATAGCAAAGTTTTAAGGAGAAGAAAATCCAAACATGTAACAGAAGAACAAATATTGGAGCGGAATTTATGCTTTGTAGATACGCCCGGCTACGGATCCGGTACCTCGGTAGGCTCTTTTTGATATCTTTATTCGATATCCCCCATGAATGTCCTTGGGTATGGCCCGATATAGTATTCAGAAAGCTAATGCAAGAGTAACTGCAGTTCCTTGAGTGTATTGAGCCTGTCGTTGGATACGTTGAGGCTCAGATGGAACGTACACGCTCCATTGTAAATAGTGGGGATGGAGAGTTACTTTCCATCCTTTCAGGCAACGGAACGTCACAGGTTGATATAGTATTTTATGTTATCCTCCACAGTCAGTACCCCCCAGTGAATACGTTTGGATGAGGCTGTGCTTATATCACGACGTGTAGGACTCAAACCAGTTGATATCGAATTCATTCGACGCCTCTCACCCTTCACTAATGTTCTGCCAGTCATAGCCAAAGCAGATACATTGACTGGTCAACAAATTAATCATCTCAAGCTATCAATCCTAAATGAATTAGTTGAAGCGGGTGTTCGTCCTTTCCTATTCGGAAAGACATATGGAGATGTTGCGCATGGTCTTCTAAACTCGACGCCTTGTGCACCATTCGCAATATCATCAGCACTTTCTAGTGATGCTGAAAATATGGATGCAAGCCTACTCATGTCGCCAGATTACATCGTGCCTCTCGTTGAATCGGAAATTGACGATCTTGTAAGACACGTATTCGATCCGGACAATATCTCTTGGTTGAAACATGCGTCCGCAAAAAAGTACCTTCAGTGGATAGCAAATCCTCTGGCACCCTCTTCCTCTGCGTTATCATATTCGTCTCGTATAGGTTCCCCGAGGCCCAGTCGGAGGGCATCGCTGTCTACTTCAACGTTTTTATCCGCTTCTAACACAAGCTTGGTGCATATATCGCCTACGGCTAGTCCTCTAGCAGCAAACAACTTCGCTCTCGCTAGAGTTGCAGACCATACCCAACGCGAAGAACGCTTGGCGCAAGTTCGGCTTACACGTTGGGCACACGAGTTGCAGCGTAGCGTTAAAGCAGAACGGGACCGCTATGAGAGATTAGCCAGGGGTGAACGGGCTATTTGGCTCACTGAGAGGTTAGGCGAGTGTATAGCGGATGGCCAATTGGTGCCCGTTTCAACGGCGACCATGGCATTTGCAAAGTCGTCTGGGCCCTCGCAAGATGCGAGTGGGG